GTGCGGGTCAAAGGTCAACGACCACTTGTTGACGCTAGGTCAATGGCTTGATGCTTCAAAAGGGCTCGTTTTCATTTTACAACTAGCCGCAAAGCTCTTCGTGCAGATCTTGATCCCTGAGAGAGGGTTGCAAAGCCAATCACCAAATCGATCTTCCCACGTTTGTGGGAACCCGAGGGAGTGTACCCTCAGGACTTTCAAGCTTCTTGGCTGTAGTTCTTGGACTTGTACGTTTTCTTCCCCTTGGCTTTGCTTGCGTTCTTATTCTTCTTTGAAGTGGAAGCTGTCTCCAGGCGATCTTTGCTCACCTTGGCCCCCCACAGCATGCCTGGTCCAGTAGCATGAAATTTGGAAATCTGCCGGTACCTTCCCCTCAAAGGCGCCGGGGTGAACGCAGTCTGTTGACTCACACTCATCCATCACCTTGTTGACACACTCAACATAATGGTCAAAGTACTCATCTTGCTGAGGTTGGGAAGCTTTGTTCTTGCGGCCCTTTGGCGGCGTCTTCTTGCTCTCTGCCGTCTTCTTTGTGTTCTTCTTCACTTTCTTTGTGTTCTTCTTCACTTTCAACTCTGGACTCTCTGCCGGTGGCTCCACTGGAGCTGCTGCTTTGGACTTCGATGATTTGCTTGGCTTGGTCTTTGAATATCTGGGTGGCCCCTCTGACGATGATGGGCGTTCAGTGCGCTCCACACTAGCCTCAGGCTCAGTTGGAGTCTTCGATGGGGACTTGGCCTTTTTGCCACTGCGAAGAACCCCCAACCTTTGCTTCGATGGACTCCTACTGAGTGCTTTCCCCTTCTTCTGGCCCGTCTTTCGATTGGCTCGACGTTTGGCCGCTGCTTTGGATCGACGTTTCTGGTCAACCTTGTCGGCTTTGCCCTTCTCACCTTCACCTCTCTTTCTCTTGCGGTCTTTCTTCTTTTCTGCCTTCGCCTCTAGGTTTTCATCCTTCATTCCAAATTGCTTGCGGCGTGTCACTGGTGGAAAGGACGGTACCTGTGGGTAGCGAGCATCCTTCAGGGTTGCGGCAACTGAGATTGGTACATTCGTGATCCCAGTTTGAAGGATTGGAAACATGAGCTATAGAAAGTGCATGCACATTGCTTGGGCAAAGCTGTTTGCTCACATAGCATGCCATGGGTATATAGTTTGTGCAGTTTGTGTTGAAAAAGAAAAGTATCAAAAGAATCCCGCTTTAGATCCACTTTGGTCTGCATGTTCAAAAGTTTGTGGCACTGCTTCTGAGCAACCGCGTGCCAAGGCACAAACCATCCA